CTTTGTTGTACTAGCGCATTTGAAAATAATAAGTAATGAACAGAAAGCCTTTTTATATTCTAAAAATGTACTAGACCTTCATGAGAAAATGTACTAGACCTTCATGAGAAAATGTACTAGACCTTCATGAAAAAACCTGAGGCTGGAATTTCTGACCTAAGCCTCTGAAAAGACCTCAGAGGGTCATGACAATTCATCAGTTTTCTTTCTTGAGGTTTATTTCCTTGAGCGTTAATGCTTTGCTGCCAATTAAGAAGTAGATAGTGATTTGCTGGTAATTTTAATTTTGGAGATTGGCTATATTGCATATTTTTCCTTTTTCCAGGACTCATCTTGACACCTCGGCTGAATTGCGCTATTCGGTTGGGTCCCTCGTGGACAGCCAGTCTGACTACAGAACAACTAAAGTAATAAGAAGACCAAGGAGAGGCCGCATGGGTGTGCGACGAGATGAGCCAAAGGTTACACTTTTTATTTCAAGTCTCTGATGGTTTTAAGTAAATAAACTTCCATTTTGGATAGAATTTTAATACTGAGTAGGTTCAAAATGCTAGCATTTTTATTAGTTTCAAGTGTGACATATGACATATTTTAAAAACTATAACTAACACAAAACCACTAACTACTATATGCCAGAAGTTCAACTAAACATTTTCCATGTATTTATCCACATAACCTTATGAATTGAGTCTATTTTTATGCTAATTTCAGATATGAAAATATGGAAGCTCAGAAAATTTAAGTGTTCAAACACAGCCAGCAGAGTAATACAATCAAAATGTGAGCCTATGTTTGTGTCATTTCAAATTCCAAGCTTTTATCCATTGCACTATTTTGTATTTTCTTGTTTGCTTGGGCACCCAAGCAATGGCATTTATACTGTTGATTAAAATAAATTAAATATTTTAATTATAATTACTACTTTAAAAACACTTTGAGGAAAATATACAGAGACTGTTGAAGGTGTTTGTAGAGAAAGTGTCCACAATCAATGGCAGTGCCAGCCTTTCAGTCACTCAGTAGCTCAGCGTTTGTAACTATGCATGTTCACCAAGTACACGGTTGCATTATACGGAGAATACAGTTCCTTTGTGCCCTAACTAGAGTTTATTCTCCCCAACCACTGCATATGTCCAAAATACTACACAACCTACTTGTCTTTACTCGTACAAACCTTTTCTTTTCTTTTCTTTTTTCTTTTCTTTCTTTTCTTTTCTTTTTTTTGGTTAACAGTGTTTTAATTACTTCCTACATTTTAAAATAGTGTCCTGAGCTCTGCCTGTAGCTTGATGGAGGCTGAGAAGTGTGGAAGAGCCAGCCTTAAGTGACTTATAAATACAGGCTGGCCTCTTCTGTGGTTGATGCTGCTTAGTAGGGACACTCCCACCCCCCTTCTTGACATCTCTAGTCTGGAACAGAAATCAGAAAAGTTTACTTAAAGGGCCACATTAAAAATATTTTAGGCTTGAGGGCTGTATGGTCTCTATGGCAACTATTCGTTCTACCTTCTAATTGAAATCAGCCATAGATAACACATAAACGAGTTTTTGAACCTAGCAGGTGCTTGCATTTTATAGTCTGCCACATTGAATGAAATGATATTACTTTGGGCCAATTTTAATATAAAGATGGTAAAAATATTCGTATCTTAAGCAGTTGTTACAAAGTAATAGTATCATAGATTAGAAATCCTATTTTTAATTCATGATAAAGAATAAGATTAGCTTAAGTTATAATGATATAAACTGGCTCAACCTAATATTTGAATTTGACAGATATTATGGCATCAGCCATTGTAAATCAGACATAAAAAGAGAAAGGAGATTAACTTATAAGTGTATTATTATTGATGTCTTTTTAAAAGACAGATGCATATGATAAAGTCACCAAGTACATATATAGTATGAAACTAAGTATTCATTTTAATCAAATTAACATCCGAAATGAATTTAGGGAACACACAGTGCTATGCTTTGCTATTGAGGAGGCTGAGGGGACAGTGAAGGTATCCCGTCTTCCCACTTACTTAGGAACAGTATGACCACAAGGCTGAACTTGTCCAGGTCAATGTTTGGGTTGGAGAACGTGCCACAGAAGGTTGTGTAGATGATCATGAGGAGCACGCTGCTGCTGATAGCACCGAAAGGAGGCTTCGTTCTTTCAAGCCAGTCCTTGATGTACCTTCGGACAATCTGAAACACAGAGATCAACAGGTGGTCTCTTTGCAGAGATGCAGGGGGTGGAACTGGGCCTCCCAAAGTGATTCTGACAGCAGGAAGACATGAAGGAAAGAGGGTAATTTCGATGATGGCCACAGAGGATTTCAAAGCTTCCCTGCCACCCTACTCTTCTTCTGGGGAATTTAACATTTGTGGTGCAACTTCCACTGGTGTCCATAATGAGAACATGTTTTCAACTGCATTCACATTCGTCCTTAATCACGCCAAATGCTCTTTGCTAGCTGTCACCGAGACATGCCCATTAAGCCTCCCCAAAGTTTATCTCCTCTGCTCATCCTAATGGATGTGTGTAATTATCACAGTCCCCTTTGCCTCAACAGACAATCCCAAGTGCAACTTTGGGAATCTTAGAAATCTGACATCTTCAAGAATTTCAAGACAGTAGATAATCAAAAGTGATCCATGGAACATATTAATATTTTAAATGCTAGCGATGCACCAGAAGTTTTTAATTAAATTATAACTCATGCTTGAAAAGCAAAAGTGCATGTGTTGTGGGAGCTTAAATAATTCAAACTCTGAATATCTAGAGTTTTTGTGAAGCCAAAGACAAATGCCATTTGCATGCTTTTAGAATTCCGGAATTAACACTTAAAAATGAATAAACCTGTCCTAACTTTCCTACAAAAAGGACCAGTGAAATATAAAGTTATACAGCAACCCTCTCATATGTTAAAACCCAATCAGATATTTAAAATCAGGATAGTCTGAATATGGGAGTTAACTTTCATTTGGGTGTAGGAGTGAGCCACTGTTTAAAACCTTTCACTTCTGAAAGAAGCTGAGCAAGCCCCTGTAATAAGGACTACAGCGGAGACGTATCACGTTCTGAGCCACTGATTATCCTGCATAATTGAACATGAGATTTCACAACAGGCTGAATTACCATGATCCATTAGCAATAATGAGTGCAGGGAACTTCTCCTGACAAAGCTGATGGGTTCTGTCATCTCCTACTCTGTCACCAAAAAGGCTTAATTTGCCATGGGGCTACCTTCACAGGTACTCAGGAACAAAATAAACCACTCTCAAAGTAAACCTGTGAACAAATGGCTGTTGAATCAACTTCCTCTGTTCTCAAGGACTCAGAAAGTGAAATCACAGTGTTAATAAAGGGAGTCCTAGCGGAAAGCTGACCAGTGGGTACAAGAAAGATACAGGTATAACACCTTGAAGCTTGGGTGGGTGGAAATGAAGGGGAAAGAGTGTCATATATGTATAAATAAATAGTGGTTAATTTTTATTAAAGTTGATCTTGTAATTAAAGTTTCAGTTGAATTTATAAAAAATTATGTTGTGTTGTGTTTTTTTTTGAGAAGTTATCCCAAACCATAGTAATTTATCTAATGTTCATTTCTTTCTTTAATGTTACAATGTAGTGAAGTATAGAGAGATAAAAGCGGCCTGTCACACAGTGCTACGCACTGATGTATTTATTAGACTGTTATAAATTTTGGATAACAGTGTCCAAGGCACTCAGATGGCCCCGTGTCCACGTGTCACAGTGGGGGTAGCTGCTTATTCGAAGGCTACAGAAGGACTTCATTTAAAAGGTCATTTCATAATCTATTGTGTTTGGTAGTATAAACCTGGTAGTTGCCCAAATTTAATACATACAACTCAACTCATTTGGGAAGTAAAATGAATGGAAATTACACGGAATAACTGAAATTGACGCTGTCCTCCAATCTTGTTTTAATATAAAATGGTTAAAAGTACAAAGATCTCTTTGCAGTAAGTTACAGCATGTGTGATTCTAATTCCAAAAAATAAGTGTCTCTCTCTCCCACCACCATCGACCCCTCTGACAAAATAAACAAACACATGTAAATGAGGTGTAACCTGAGAGTCAAAAATATTTTCCAAACCAAGATAAATCTCTAATCTAAGCAGCAAATGACTCAGTTAACCTAGTAATCTCTTTCTGCATTACAAAGTGCTCAGAGGCTCATAGTACATAGGACTCTCTCAATATGGCAAGTAACAAGGGGTCCTGAGTCATGCGTCGTCCTAGCAAAAATGTTTTTCTTCTAAACACATCGATGCTTGAATCTGGACACTTAATCTCGATAAGGAAAACAACGAGAAAGTTGAGATTGGATAGACTGACAAGTGAAACAATAACCCTAGAGGAAAACGGATTGTCTTCACTGTTTTTAGTTTTACAGTGATATTTATCTCTGTTTTCTAAGTAAACCATTTTATACTTTGCCAGGCTCTATAGAGCTTTTCCATCTTCCTTTCAAATTAAATTCGCAAAGCAGCTGTTTTTGCACTGTGTAGCTAGAAAAGTGTTAAAATGCTTCATAAACGACTGGGTGAAGTAGAGTTGATAAGCCTCAAAGATTGCTTTGGATATAAACTCCAGGAAACCTCAGCTTCTCTTAGTTCTGCTTATGCTTTTCACAATAGCACTCTCCATTTGTCAAGAATCCATGTCATTTTTTTAGTTCCCCAAACTTCTTTGTCTTACAGAAATGTAAGATAGTCAACACGCCCTGACAGATGCCTCAGAACTCCCCTGGGGGAAAACAACAGTCCAGACGAGGGGGAAGCATTCTGGTGAGGTGCCAGGGTGTCTTCTGCAGAATCTTCACTCATTCACTTGCTCTCAGAGCTCAGAGAAACCGAGGCATTCAAAAACCAAGTCACAGGGTCTCATGAGCTTGTTTGCTTTTTGCTATAGAGAAGGAAAAAATCTTCCACAGCTTTTTATTTTATTGTCTCACCTTCTACATTTTGATTTTCTTTGGGTTAAACTAAGCATCAGTAACCTTTAAAGGGAAACCTGAATCCCCGTATCCCTGTCCTTCTAACAAGCTGAGACACTCAGCAATTACTGCAGGACCTGCCAGGCTCGAACCTGGGAGACTAACGCATCTCGGGTGACGAATGCCCATGAACCAAGATAACCAAGACATGCAATACCTGTCACTTTAGTTTCTGTGTGTGTTTTTTTCCAGGGTATTTTCTTGCATTTCCCCCTACTCTGTCTTTATATCTATAAGCTGATTTCTGAGTGGGGATATACGATGGGTAATTTTTCATGTTAAGTCTGAATTTTAAGATGTATTTTCCTTCAAGGTGGCTTCAGATTGTTTCTCGGATTTTTACCCTCTATTCTACTGAGTCCATAGATTTTCATAAAGCGTATTGTTTCTTCATTAATATCCTGTTGAAATGTACAGTCAGGGATATAAAATGAAATCCGATTTATAAAACATTTTTCTTTTAAAATATTCCGTGTTAAATGTTGAGTAGATTCAAAATCATACAGTACGCTTCATAAGAAGTATAAACAACAATAATAATGAATACAGTAAGCACCCATCATTTACTTAGCTGTTTGAAAATTCTTTCCCACTATTACTTCATCGCATTCTCATGAGAAAGGTCAAGCCAATACGATCCTGCTCAGTTACAGTTGAAAACACAGGCACGCAGAGCCCAAACAACGTGCATAAAAAGTGAAAAAGCTAGTTAGCTGGCTGAGCAGGAATATGATTTATTTCCTGAGGGGTTCCCAGTCCCATGGAGCTCACCTTCTAGTTAAAGGAGATAAAGAAAAAGCAAAAACAACAAACCAACCAGAAGCAGGTAATGCTCCTATTAGAGAGAGGTGTAAACTGGATGAGATAGCCACGGTCCAGGGGAGGGGCGGGGAAAGGTCTTTCTGAGCAAGGAGAGGAGAGGGGGTGCTCCGAATACATGGGGAGATGGGGCACAGTGTGTGAGGCGGATGGAGGCTGGCACTCTCGAGAAGCAGAAGCCAAGTCAGTGAGCCCGAAAGCAATGGGCATGTGGGAAAGTGCTGGGGGAAGTAAAGGGGCTTGAAAATACAGGACAGGGTGAAGTAACCCTATGAGGAATAAAGTGAGACTCTAGGAAGTGTGGTATATATATCATTTTAATTTGGGCTCAGGAATTTAAAACAAGGTGAGACCAGCTATGTGTTTCTCTCTAGCAAAGCTGGAGATCTAGGGGAAATGGCTGCTGGGGGCTCCCTGAATGTAAATTTAGAATTTTCTTCGGCCGATCTTTTTATATGGCTCACACCCTATGAAGGAGTATGCTGTTAAAATATACTTGTTATAATAGAGTCTCTGCTTCCAGGAAGCTCACAGAGAAGTTAGAATTTCCCCTGATAAATATTTGGGGAGGAACCATAATAAAATTACAGACCATGGCAGAACTGGAATTGAGTCCCCGCCAGGGGAGGCAGAGCAGGTCCACTGCACATCAGAGGGTGTCTCTGTACTGAGTTTTGAGGATTGAGTAGGAGTTTGCTGGCAGAAAAGTTGGGACAGTAAGATGGAAGGCATGGGGCCCTGAGGGGGGCTGGTCAGGGAGGAAGGGGCTGCCTATGGCATAGGGGAACAGGAGCCTAAATGAAGGGATGGGGGAGGTGACAGTGGAGAGGCAGGTTGGGGCCAAAATGATGAAGGGCTGTGTGGGCCACACAGGAATGGGCACCAGGGAGCCATGAGGGAAGTTTTTAAGGAGAGGAATAAGCTGATCTGATTTGTTTTTAGGACTACCCTGGAGGCGGTAAAGACACTGGACAGGCATTGGAAGAGGCTCACAGCAGAGAGACAGGTTTGGGAGGTGCAGTCATTAGACAAGAGATGAAGTAGGTGAGAATGTGAGGATGCCAGACATGAATGATTTCTGAGGCAGGAACGGTGGCACTGACTGCCTGCCTGGATGTAAGGAAGGGTGCAGGGCAGGAGGCAAGGTGGTTTCTACAGGTGGAGATCGGAGTGACTGCTAATTCCTGTCCCAGAACAGAAGGGGAGGGGGGCAGTAGATGTAAAACAGAGGTTTCCTCTTTGAAAAAAATCATTAAAGCATTTTGGACCTAGAGTACTTTTAAAAAACCACTTACACTACCTTCTGGCTACCTTTACTGCTTTATAATTTACTGTAATACCTTACTACTGAGCACATAAAGGGTAAGGAATTAACAATTCATTACTCTCTCTGGATAAACATTCTTAATTTTGTAAAGTACAAAGCCCTCTACGTTAAGAAAACCTATTGAACGACTGAGACAAAGATCTTTCCCTTGTCCATATGTTTTAAACCAAACATTTATTAACAATAGACATACTTCCAAGATCCACTACTAGAAGAATGTATGAGCCCTGGTTAGCATATGAAATTATTTTCAGAACCAAGAAAATCAGTAGGGGCTTAAACTAATACTATCCGCAGTGTAAGTGCCTAGAGCTGAGGAGGGCGGTGGGTGCTTCGTCTGTAAGAGGGGCACCCCCCTCACTGACCACAGAGTTCTCCCCCGCTCCCTCCCTCCCTCCCTGACCCACCCAGCACATATTTACTGGGGGCTGTGCTCTGGGCATGTAATGGACAGCGAAACAAATGCGGTTCCTGCACTCATTACAGTCTAATGGGAAAGACACACAGTAACAAGGAAAACAAATGATAAGAAAGTAGTGAAAAAGAACAAGAAGGGACTCAAACAAGGTGCTAGAGGAAAGATAACCAGGGAGCTGGGTGGTTCAAAGAAGATACGAATTAAAGAGTCAAATGATCAATGAGCTGGGTGGCAGGGTGGGTAGGAAGCCACTCTAAACAGGAAAAATATTATTATTTTTTAAATTTATCTTTATTGTTGAAAGTATTACATGTGTCCCATTTTCCCC